GTGCATCGAGGTAAGTTTCAGTGTGAGTATGCCATTACATGGGCATGTAGGGGCAGAAAAACGGAACCAACAAAACAACAGTCTTTTCAGGTTGTGTGGGAGCACAAAAGCTCCCACTTCGTTTTAGACAGATGATTGTGGCCGCGAGATCTTGAGATCTTGCAGCCCGTAGTGCACACGCGGAAAGCAGGAAGAAGTTTGGAGAGAGAGAGAGAGAGAGAGAGGGAGAGAGAGAGAGAGAGAGAGAGAGAGAGAGAGAGAGAGAGAGAGAGAGATGGAAAGATACAACGTCGTGATTTTTGTCTTTTGTGCAGGTGGTGAGTAGTGGAGTGGTGTTGCCCCCCCTTTTCACTCGTGGTGGCCGTTTTTTCTCCGCCACGTCGAAAGTCGAAAGTGGGGGGATCTAAAAACCAAAAAAAAAAACAAAAAAACAACTTACCAAAAAATAAAAACCATTTGACGCCCCAAAAATGGGCGTCCGTTTTACTTCCTCAGGGACTGCAAGTCCCTGTCCGCTTTACGCGCGCCACTTGGCACTTTTTTTTTTTATAGTAATAAAGCCGTTGGCACAGGGCTGGTCCCCGGATGGACCAGGGACCCCTACCCCATCCACGGTCCTCCCGGTTGGACCGGCCGGTGGCCCGGGCCGGTTCCCTACCGGTCGCCCCCAGCGCATTTTTGCTGGGGCCTGAATTTTTGTTTTTGGTGGTGCGAACATGTGAAGGAGGCCTCGTGGGGTGGGGCCCTGCCCCGCAATAACGAAACCGGGTCGTGTAGGCCCTCGTTTTCGAACTCCAAAAAATGGTCAATCTTGGTCGCCGATCATCGCAGATCATCGGCAAAGATCAGCCACTTTTTTGAACTCGATGTGGCGGGAAACCGATCGCGCAGCAGGGGAAAATGCATGCCCGTTCAACCCCGCTCACCTCTGGTCTGTGCAGCCGCTCCACTCCGTCGTCACGTCTGACAGCCGGCCGTGCCATCATCGCCACCGCCAACCAGTCGCGCCATCACTCGGTGCAGCCGCCATTGTCTGTAGGTCTCCGCGGGGTGCAGCATCGCCATCGTCGCCTCCGCGAGCCAGCCGCGCCATCACGCCCCCCCGCCAACGAGCCACTCCATCACGCCCCCCAGGTTTGTTTCTTCTTCTTCTTCTTCTTCTTCTTCTTTTTCTTCTTCTTCTACCTCCTCCTCCTCATCTTCTAGTCCTCCTCTCTTAGACATCGGCTCGAGTTCTTCTTCTTCTTCGTCTTCCTCCTTATCCTCCTCGTCCTCCTCCACCTCTTCTTCTACTCCATCTTCTTCGTCGTCTTCTTGAAGTTCTTGTTCTTCCTCCTCCTCCTCCTCCTCTTCTTCTCCTCCTCCGTTATCCATACCCGTTTTTTTTTTTTTTTCGTTGCTGCCTCGAGGCCCCTGTTTTCACTATTCTTCTTCTTCTTCTTCTTCTTCTTCTTCTTCTTCTTCTTCTTCTTCTTCTTCTTCCTCCTCCTCCTCCTCCTCCTCCTCCTCCTCCTCCTCTTCTTCTTCTCTCCCCTCTTCTTCATTATTTTCCTCCTCCTCCTCCTCCTCCTCCTCCTCTTCCTCTTCTCCTTCCTCTTCTTCGTCATCTTCTTCTTCTTCTCCCCCCTCCTCCTCCTCCTCCTCATCTCCTCCACGTCCGTTAGGTGTAGCCATTTTTTATTTTATTTTTTTTTGTCGTTGCTGCTTTAGCTCCCTTGTGTTCTGTTTCTTCTTCTTCTTCTCCCTACTCCTCCTCCTCCTCCTCTTCTTCTCTCCCCTCTTCTTCATCATTTTCCTCCTCCTCCTCCGCCTCCTCCTCTTCCTCTTCTCCTTCCTCTTCTTCGTCATCTTCTTCTTCTTCTCCCTCCTCCTCCGCCTCCTCCCCATCTCCTCCACGTCCGTTAGGTGTAGCCGTTTTTTTTTTTTTTTTTT